CCAGCCTGGTCTACAAAGTGAGTCCAGGACAGCCAATGCTACATAGAGAAACCCTGTCTTGAAAAACCAAATAAAAAAGTCAAATATATACTACAGAATAGTGGAAGGCCTGAGGGCTGTAAGCCTCCTCCAGAGCCATGTCCAGTATGCAAAGTAGGGAACCCCTGGAAATGAAAATGTCCTCCAACTTGCAAGGGAAGGCTAGCCTCCATCCAAAGACCTTATGTGCTTGCCACGCCCACCTAAGAAGACAAATGTTCCTGACCTTCTGTCTAGACCATAAGGAGTCCAATAGAGAAGTACTCTGTGAGTTGGAGGCCAGCCTGGTCTGTAAATCCAGTCCTGGACAGAGAAGTATACACAGAGGAAACCCTGTCTCAAAAATAAAAACAAACAACAACCCCTCTTACCCCCTTTTTTCCCAGCTGGAACCATGGAGGCTGTGCCAGAGAATAAAAAGAAGGTTCCTGCTGTATCAGAAACTCTTAAGAAAAAGCGAAGGAATTTCGAAGTTGAAGGTGAAGCGCCTGCGGAAAAGCTTTACTGAAGAAACTGTGGAAGCCAAGGAGGAAGCTCATCTACGCTAATGCCAAACACTATCACAAGGAGTACAGGCAGATGTGCCGGACTGAGAATCGGATGGCCAGGATGGCGAGGAAAGCTGGGAACTTCTACGTGTCTGAAGAAGCAAAATTGGCGTTTGTCACCAGAATCCGGGGAATCAACGGTGTAAACCCAAAGGTCCGAAAGGTGCTACAGCTTCTTGTCTCTGACAGATCTTCAATGGCACCTTTGTTAAGCTTAACAAGGGTTCGATTACATTGCGTGGGGGTACCCCAACCTACTGAAGTTGGTGAATGAGCTCATCTACAAGCAAGGCTACAGAAAAATCAACAAGAAGCAAATTGCCTTGACAGATAATTCCTTGATCTGGTAATTTTGGCATCATATGTATGATTTGGTAATTTATGATTTGGTAATTTTGGCATCATATGTATGGAGGATCTAATTCATGAGATCTACACAGTTGGAAAATAACTTCCTGTGGCACTTCAAACTGTCTTCTCCACGAGGTGGAATGAAGAAAAAGACAACTCATTTTGTGGAAGGTGGAGATGCTGGCAACATGTAAGACCAAATAAACAGGCTTATTAGACAGATGAACTAAAGAATTGTTCATGGTGTTTTTGTAATCTGGTCAGTTAATAAATAGTCACAGCTTGAAAAAAAACAAAACAAAACAAAAAATTAATTGGTTCACCACAGTGGCAATTTTGGTGGGTCATGCCCCATCCCACCTGTGTTGTATAATTTGCATCTCCCCTGGAAATTTCAGTCACACAACACTCCTTTACTGCCAAATCTAACCCCAAGGCCCTTCTACAACATTCTTGTATAGAAACCACTAATCTAGACTCAGATAGTAGACCAGATTTGCAAGATCCACCTGCCCTCCCACTCCAGCTTGCCCAGCCTGAGGCTGGTTCACAGATGGTATAGTTTTATAGAGGCTTTCAGAGAAAATGACAGTGTGCCTCTCTCTCTTTCTCTCTCTCTCTTACACACACACACACACACACACACACACAAATGAAATGAAATTAAAAATAAAACAAATAAAAAAGCATTCTGGGGTCTTGCAAAATGGCTCAGTGGGGATAGAGGTGCTGTGGTGGTTTGAAGAAGAATGGCCATGCCAACGTTTACCCCTGAGGAAGACGGCCCATGTTAAACCATGCTAAAGGAAGGGGAATAATAATTATCCCTTTAATGAGATACTGTACTTTTTCTGCCTTCCCAGAATTCCTGCTCTGACAGAATTCCTACAAGCTACCCTGAGATTCAGCTGGGTCTGCATACCTTTCTGAATCCTGACTTTTTCTACTTTGTCTTTTTCTTTTGGAAAGTGGCCAGATCCTAAATGCTTTTCCTGGTACTTTGGGCTTCCTTGCTTTCCCTCTAAAGCTACCCTCCCTACTATGTGGCCAAACTCCATGCTGGGTCCATTCTAACAGCATGTCCTTGTTTCTGTCTTCTCCATTCTCTTCCTCTGAGCAGCTGCTGAGATTTATAGCTTGCCTGTCCTGAGGTTTTTCCTTTAAATTCTAATAAAATTTTCCTTGTAAGCTGAGTGCTGAACTTGGGTCCTCTGTAAGAGCACAAAGTGTCTTAGACAGAGCCATCTCTCCAGTTCCATGAGTGGCATTTTAAGACAGACTATGACAGTGTACAAGCACGTAGAAGTAAAATTTTAGATAATAAAATCTGAACATACTCACCATATATACATGCATATGTATATATTTTTGTCTGCCTGCCTGCCTATCTCTATGTATGCATGTATGTGTGTATACTTTGGTTTTACACACAGACGCAGAGACACACACTATTGATAGATAGAAAGATAGATAGATGATGTTTAAGGTTTGTTTTTCTTTTTCTTTCTTTTCTTTTCTTTTCTTTTTTTTGAGAGAGTTTATCTGTGTAGTCTGGGCTGTTCTGGACTCAATCTGTATACTAGGCTGGCCTCAAACTCACAGAGATCCACCTGCTTCTGCCTCCTTGAGTGCTGGGATTACAGGCATGCACCACTGTGCCAGGTTTGTTTTTGTCATTTTGAATCATGTATATAAAACAGATACCTGTTGAACCAAGAGGCATTGATTGCCTGTGAAAGACCCCCGCCTCACCCCAAGTTAAACAAAGCTATGAGAAACTCTGTAGACTAGGTGGGGAACTGGAAAATTACTAAGAAACCCCCAGCTGTGTCACCCACTTGGGATATCTGTGGTCAGGCTGCCCCAGTCGAGCTAAAAACAGTTTGTGTTAATCATCCTCATGGATATCTGTGAGACTGTTCCAGTTAAGATAAGGGTCCTAAGGAAAACAACAGGTGGCGGGCCAAGTTAAGGGGGTCATCATGACCGTTTCGACCACCCAGTTCCTGGAATCCTGGTGTCCCTGCCAAACTCTGACTCAAACTGTGGTCTCATGTAAATGTACCAATCAGCCCCCTGTAATCATGCTTCTCGCTTCTGTACCCGCGCTTCTGCTCTAAAACCCTATAAAAAGCCCAGCTTTACACCCAGAGGGCGCGCAAGTCCTCCGAGTGACTCTGCTGCCCCGGGTACCCATGTATCAAAATAAAAGCCTCTTGCTGTTTGCATCCGAACGCCTGGCCTCGTTGTTCCTTGGGAGGGGGTCTCTCAGACGGAAGATACCCTCCGGGGGTCTTTCACCTGGAGCTGGAGTTGCAGGTGATAGGAGATACTTGACATGAAATCTGAGAACTGAACTTGAATTCTCTGCAAATGTGGTACCAGTGATTAACCCTAGAGACATCTCCCTATTCCCCATATGCAGAAAGTTTGTATATAAGGTTGTGGTACAAACTTTGTTCTTACTCTGTCCCTGTCCAATAATAAATATTAAAATATTTTTAAAATAAGGAAGAAAGGGAGCAGGAATGGGAAGGGAGAAAGAAAGGAGAAGGGGGCATGGAGAATATTAATTTTCTGTCTTTCTTCCATGTGATGAGAATATGTTATGTCATTTAATTCTCACCGGAGCTGACATGGTTTGCCATTTCACAGATGAAAACTCAGAGGCTTTTCCATATTGTTCAAGGTTACTCAGGGTAGCAGAGCTGGGAGTTTTCAAAACTGAAAGTTGGGCCAGGTGTGGTGGTATACACCTTATATGCCAGCACTTGGGAGATAGAAGAGGCAGATTTCTGTGAGTTCCAGGATAGACTGGTCAGGACAGCCAAGGCTATATAGAGAAACCCTGCCTCGAAAAACTGAAGCAAATAAACAAACCACAAATCTGAATCTCCATTAAATGGAAAGAGAAGAGAGGAAGTTGAGAATCATAAAAGCAGGAGAGTGTGCTCCACCAGATTGGGAGAAGTCAGCAGGAATGCTGAGTGATAGGAATTGCTTCCAGATCTGTGTGTATGATAATGACAAAACATTGTTTACTTAGATAAAAGAGAAAATTTTAATTAATAAAGTCAGGAGATACTGGGAGGCAGCCAGGCTTTGGTAAGTAAGAGACATAACAAGTTGCAAACACAAGCTGCAAGAATGGTTTGAGTTATTTTTACAATGGTGAGGGCAGCCAAGAACCTAGTGGGAAGCAGACCAAAAGTGACAGCTTCCGGTTCAAAGTTCTATTACAAGTGTTCTATTTACTTTTGCCCTGACAACGGATCTCTATTGAAGGTAATGCAATGATGGATCTAGAGGAGCTTGCAGATGTGGCTGTAGTTCAGGCAGGAGCTCTGTTTGGTCTGTGTTTGGTCCACTTTGCGATAAGGTCAGAGGAGGAGTTAGAAAGGGTTTGGTTAGCAAGCAAGGGAGATGTCATGAAGGAAATGATGAAGCTTCTGCTTCCTGTCTGCCATAAAGAAGCTTCTTAGCTATATTGTTTTACTCCACGACCAGCTCAGAAACAGGAATTCAAGTGACCATGACTGAATCCATTGAAACCAGAGCCCCGGATAAACAGTTTCTGTGTTGTGTCTGTTGGGTGTGTGGTTGAAGTGATACACAAAATGACAAATGCATCATCACTTCTAGAGAGTCTCATCGACAAGACAGCATTAAGTCAGGAGCAACATAGCCCCATGCCTCCTAATCCAGTGTAAAGTGGTATGTGCAGAATAAGCATGTAAAACCTTAATGTAAATTCCAGGACAGTAAACACCCTTCAAAAAGAGTTTTCCAGCTGAGTATGATAGCTTATACCTGTAATCCTGGCACTCAAGAAGCAGAGGCAGGAGCACTTACGCAAGTTCAAGTTATCTTACAGAATGAAACTCTGTTTCTAAAACACCAAAAATAACTATTAATTTAAATTTTTTCCAGGGGTCTGAGGTTGTAGTGTAGGGTTAAGTATTTGCCTAGCATGTACAAGGATATGGGTTCAATATCCTGCATTAAAAAAAAAATGGAAGAAAAATGAGGATTTTTGTTTGTTTGTTTGTTTGTTTGTTTTGAGATGGGGGCTCTCTGTGTAACCTTTGCTGTCCTAGACTCGATTAGTAGTCTAGGCTGGCCTCAGTCTCACAGAGATCCACCTGCCTCTGCCTCCCTGAGTGCTAGGATTATAGGCATATGGGCCTATAATGGACATTTTAATCCTATAGATTTAGGAGCCTGGAGAGATGGCTTAGCAGTTATGAGTACTGGCTACTCTTCCAGAGGACCTTGGTTGACTCTAACTCCAGTTCCAAGGGCTCAGATGCCCTCTTCTGGCCTCCTCGGGGAGCTAGGCCTGAAGGTGACACATATACATGCATGCAGGCAAACACTCATATGTGTAAAAACATAATTTGCCAGTTGCCAGCCAGGTGGCTCAGTGGGTAAAATGCTTGCCACTAAGCCAGACAGCTGGAGTTCAAACTCTGGACCTACAGGAAGGATATCTATGAAAGAGGGCAGGCCCAGAGTACAATCACAGCTGGCCCAAACTAGCTGAAAATCACAGGAGTAGGACTGTTTAACCTTGAGCTTTTGCTCATGGTTATTTGTTTATTCGTGCTAAAACACAACCAAATAAAGTTTTCTTGACTCACATGCTGAGGCATATGTATCACCACTTAAAATGTATAATTATAAATTTTTGCTGAGTGTGGTAGAATGAACCTATGATCACAGAGTAGCCAGAAAGGAAAAGAGGGGAGGAGGATGAGAGGAAAGGTACAAGAAGATGAAAGAGGTTTTCAAGGTAGGAAAAGTCACTAACATTAACTGAACATCATTTACCACAGGCCAGTCACTGCCTTTAATCCTTCAGCAAGTCTATAATGTGGTATTAAACCATTTAACAAACACACACAAAATACATAATAATATTATCCACATCCCTGAGAGGTCTACAAGGAGCTACAGTGATTAAACTAGTGGAGTCTGGAGGCCCCAGGATGTTCAAGAGGGGCTGGTCACAGAGGATCCCAGCTTCTCAGCTCATCTCCAGGCGGTCTCTTCTCACCAGGTGCCTAGAACCAGTTTTGCTGGGGCAAGAGGCCACCAAAAGCAGAGCTGCTGCTATGCCAGTCAAAAGTAATTATGATGCCCAAGCATATGAGGACCAGGCCTGCCAGCCCCAAACGGATGAGGTTTCCCTGAGAATAGTCGGAGGAGCCAGAACCTGTAGGCCAAAAAGAGGGAGACAAGGTATGGGTCCTGTATCCCAGAGTCTTGGTGCTCTGACACACAGATGGAGTCATGTCTCCAGAGCCCCTGGGTCTGAAGGAGAAGAGGCAGAGCACCTCACCTTCATAGCTGATGACCAGTGGCTGGCTGACCAGCGACAGAACATAGGGGGCGGAAGGCGTGTGGTAATAGCAGTTGTAGGTGCCAGGGGCATGGGCGCCGTTGAGAGGGAAGTCAGCCCAGGGCTGCACAGAGTCGACGTACTGCAGAGGGGTTGCCACGCCCACTCGGTACAGCGCAAAACTCATGCCTGGCATGTGTCCTGCACAGCGCAGGCTCACGTTGGCTCCTGGGGCCACCACAGGCCCAGGCAGTGCCACCAGTGATGGTCTGGGCAGCTGATCTGTGGAACACAGGCAAGGTCTTACTTAGGCAGGCCGGCCTGCCTGTCTTTGTCCTCCCTGTCCTTCTCCCTTCTGCCTCTCTTCCCATCCACCAAACTCACCTTCCTCTCCTCATATGTTCAAGAATCTCGCAATCTGTTTTCCTATCGTTTCTCTCCTTGTGTATTCTTCCACCCCACCCCGACCCTCTGCCTTAGTCTCTCTCCTGTGCCCTTCTCCCATCCTCCCAGACCTCACCTGCCACCAGCAGTTCCAGGACATCACTAGACTGGGACCAGACACCGGGCCCCCAGTCTGTCCTGCGGTAGCGGCAGTGATAACTGCCTGCCTGGGTCAGAGTCACCTCCTCCAGGAAGAACTCAGCCAGCTCAATGGACACATTCCGGAGGAGCAGAGGGGTGACGACACCAGTTCTGAAGAGTGCAAATCTCCAGGCAGGTTGGGGTGCACGGCACTTCAAGGTCACATTGACTCCAGGAGTCACAACTGCAGCAGGATGAGCCGTCAGCCATGGCTGGGGATATGAGGCTGCGGGCGCTTAATAAAGAAGCATGTTTGGGAGGCTGGAGAGATGGCTTAGTGGTTAAGAGTGTTGGCTGCTTTTCCAGTGGACCTGGGTTCAATTCCCAGCACCCACATGGCAGCTCACAACTTTCCATAACTCAAGTTCTGCTGAACACAGCTCCCTCACACAGACATACATGTAGGCCAAACACCAAATATACATTAAGAAAGGGGTGTTTGGGTCCTCAGAACTGTCCAACCCAAAAGCCCCAAATCCTAACTTGGATCTTTATGAAGGAAGGGAGGGCCCAGAGTACAACTATAGCTGGCCCAAACTAGCTGAAAATCACAGGACTAGGACTGTTTAGCTTTGAGCTTTTACCCATGGTTATTTGTTTGTTTGTGCTAAGGATCAACCTAGAGTCTTATGAATTGTGGGTAACCACTGACTCTACCACTAAGATTTAGTGGTACATTAAGATACAGTGATATACTATACCTTACTGTATTCTATTCTGTACACTATATACACTCAAACCTCCTCCATAAGTTTTGTTTGTTTGTTTGAGACAATGTCTTGTACGGTGCTGGCCAGCCTTGAACTTACTATGTAGTGGAGAATGACCTTGAACTTCTGATCCTCCTAGATTATAAACCTATGCTACCCATCAGGACCCTCCCATCTATTCAGTGCTGGGGACTGCTAGGCAAGCAATCTATCAGCTGAGGTACATCCACAAGTCCTTCTCCACAATTTTAAGGCACAGCTTCAAAATGTCACACCAGAAATGGTTACTTTTGTTTCTATTTGCTATTATTGGTTTTTGTTTTGTTTTTGAGACAAAGCCTCATTATGTAGCATAGTTTGTCCCAGAGCACATTAGTGGTACAGGCTGGCTTCAAATTTGTAATCCTTCTGCCTCAGCTTCCCAAGTGCTGAGATGACAGATATATACACCACACCTAGATAGAAACATTTATGGGCCCAGAGCAGTGGTGCATGCCTGTAATCCCAGCACTTGGAGAAGTAGAGGCAGGCAGATCTCTGAGTTCCAGGCCAGCCGGGTCTACAAAGTGAGTCCAGGACTTCCAGGGCTACAAAGAGAAACTCTGTCTCAAAACAAACAAACAAACACAACAAAAAAGGAAAAGAAAAAGAAACATTTATGGTTTGCAACATCTACAAAGTAAGTCCAGGGCATCCAGAGCTACAAAGAGAAACTGTCTCAAAAAACAAAACAAACAAACAAAAAAAAAAAACAACACAAAAAAGAAAAGGAAAAGAAACATTTATGGTTTGCAACATGTCAATAATTACTGCTATGATTTGACCATGTTCCCCGATTTAATCTTTGATATTACAAGGTTGAAAGATTGGTCTTTAACAGGCAATAAAATAGGGGGTGAAGAGATGACTTAACAGTTAAGAGTGCTTCCTGCTTTTGCAGAGGACCTAGGTTTGTCTTCTAGCACCCATATTGGGCAACCCATGACTATTGAGTTTCAGTTCCAGAAGGCACATGCACCCAAGCACATATACTCCCACACAGACACAAATACATACACATAATTTAAAATAACAAAAATGAATACTTTTTTCTAAACAGGTGATGGAATAGAATACCAGGTATAGCCAGGCACAGGTGGCACATGCCTGTAAGGCCAGTACTCTGGGATGCAGAGGCGTGAGTTCGAGGCCAGCCTGGTCTTCAGAGTGAGTCTAGGAAGCCAAGGCTATGCATATCATGTCTAGTGGTGTACTTTTATGACCATCCTTCAGTGAGGAGTGGGGGCGAGGCTGAGTGTTAGAGCACTGCCTAGAATGCCCCAGTGAAAGGCTTAGAAGTTTTGCTTGGTGAGAGAGCACTAGCTCACTGTGTGCAAGACCATGGTTCAATCCTTCCCTAGCACATATACAAACAACAAAAGCATAACATGCTCAATAAGCCAATAATCCCACTGTTTCATCATAGGTAAATTCTTTGTTGTTTGTTTGCTTGCTTTCTGAGACACTGTTTTCCTCTGTAGCCCTGGCTGTCCTGGAACCTGCTCTGTAGACCAGGCTGTCCTTGAATGCACAGAAATCTTCCTGTCTGGGATTAAAGGCATGCACCACCAACATAGGTAAATTCTTTTGTTGTTTGTTTGTTTGCTTTTGAGACAGGATTTTTCTGTGTAGCCTTGGCTGTCCTGGACTCCGCTTTGTAGGCCAGGCTGGCCTCGAACTCACAGCAATCCTCCTGCCTCTGCCTCCCTGAGTGCTGGGATTACAGGTGTGTGCAACCACTCCCAGCTGCCAATTCTCATTTGTAAATAAATTTAAAAAGTAAAAGTAACTGTTTAATGATTGGTAACATCCCCAAGGCAGAATGTAAGTTTAACACTTAAGACCCAGTATGATCCATGAAATACCAATTTTCATCTGGCAAGAGAAAGAGGAAGTGTGCAAATATGTGACGTATATAAATGCATGGGAAACTTTTTGTAGAAATCAGGAACACAGAAAGGGGAAGAGAAAGACTGTTGCATCTTTTTGTAACTACTGAGTCTTTAGAACCATGAGTACATATTGGCTTTATCATTTAAAATGAATAGAAAATTAGGGGCTGGAAACTGGGGGCAATGGCACACACCTATAATCCCAGCACTCAGAGAGGCAGAGGCAGGCAGATCTCTGTGAGTTTGAAGATAGCCTGGTCTACAAAGTGGGTCCAAGACATCCAGGGCTACAAAGATAAACCCTGTCTTGGAAGAAAAAATAGGGACTGGAGAGATGGCTCAGCAGATAAAAGCACTTGCTGCTTTTGAAATAGCCTGGGGTATGATTATCCACACCACATGGTGGCTCACATGTAACTCCAGGTCCAGAGGGTCCTACTGCCTCCTCCTGAGCTCTTCGAGCACCAGACATGCATGTGGTATATATACCTACATGCAGACAAAACTCTCATACACATAAAATAAAATAAAAATTAACTGGTAACTCAGACATGAATGGCTTCCTAGATTACTTCATTCGAAATTGGAGTATAGTGGAAGAAATTTCGAGAGAAAAGAAACACCTCCTCCATCAGGAAACCCAAGAAGAAACAACCTTGGGGTAGGGAAAACCCTCCTTTTGTGGAAAGCAGACTCTAGTGAGAAAAGCTGGTACAACTGGCATTGAGGAAACCCTATGTCTGGAGCCCTGGACTATGCCAGGATCAGAGCTTATAGTTTACCTATATAATTACATTAAATCCTCAGTGCAGCCCATTTTCTAAAGAAGGAAATGGACTCTTCAAGACCCCTAGTTTGTTCAAGGCCATGTAATGAACAAGATTGTATAGGTCTCCTTAACATCCTCTACATTCATGGTCTTTTGATGAAGGAAAGAGACTAGAGAAGAGATGAAAGAGCAGGAGTTAAGGGGGAAAGGAACAGAGGATGGAGAAAGGAGGAGGAGGGAAGAGGAGAAGGAAGAAATGGAAGCAAGTAAGGAGGAAGGGAAGGATACAAGAGAAAAAGGAGAAGAAAAAGGAACAAGGACAGGTAGAAGAATGAAGAGATGGATGGAGGGAGAAGGAAGAGAGGAAGAGAGGGGAATAAGGAAATCTGGGGTGACACTGGGTATCAAAGAATTGTTGGAGATGGGGGAGATGAGTACGTTGGAGCAGTATAAAGGAGAGCATTTGCAATATGCCACTCACCTGTTAGCGTCAAGTCTGTAAGACACACGGGCCCTGCGGAAGGTTTGGAGCTTTACAAAGTCCTTTGTGACTACCAGTCTCCCTCACTGGGAGCCCTAGACCCTGGTTACATGGCTTTGTTTTCCTCTGAAAATAAGAATCCTACCCCTGCCTTCTTTAGGACAAAACAAAAGTGCAGACCTTCATTCCCCATACTTAAGAAGCTAGATGTCTGACCCACGAGGACCGGCCTTTCCTCTCCACCTTTCCTAAGAACCATAACCTACTCTGTGGGGTTCCTCCCACTTGGGGTTTGGACGTCTAGATGCCCTCTTCCCTCCAGCACATTTGCCATGAGAACTGAGTACATTCAGTACATTCTCTGACCCCGGATACCCCATACCTCCTGTTGCCTGGAGATCCACAGGAACCTATGCTCCCTCCAGACTCAGCAATCTGACTGCCCCCATTTAGGACTCAGGTATCTGGGTACCAGTCCCTACTCCTTTGTCTAAATTGGATGCTGAAGTCCAGATGATCAGATATAGCTCTCAGCCCAAACAAGGACCCACACACAGGGGAGGGACAGCTCACAGAGAGTCAACAGCTGGAGGATCAGCGACAGGATCATGGCGGGGTATCTCCGTAGAGCTGGGAGAAAGGCTGGTCCTGCCTTTCTTTTACCCTCTGAGGAAATGAAGCAATACCAGAAAGCCATGTGAGAGCCCTGTTTAGGGAACAGGGGAGTCTGGTGGAGGCTCCTGGGTAACTGTGTCATAGTCTCATTTTCTTGGAAAAAGTTGCAAGAGGAAACAGTCATAGCCTCCAGTGTTCATGAATCAATTTAAAAAGAGGAGAGATGGGCTGGGATTGTTGTAGCTAAGTGGGACACCACTTACCCAGTGTATTCTAGCCCCAGAACTGAGAAGAGAATGAAAATGTGGGGGAGAGGGGGAGGGAAAGGAAGAGAAGAAAAGAAACAAAGCCGAAAAAATGAAAAAATGGGAAAAGAAGCTTGTTGTACAATATCTACACTGCTGGTGACAAGGGGAAAGCTCAGGCCCCATTACTGCCCTCACACTGTCCCAGTTTCACTGACTCAGGCTGGATAACTTAATTTTTATTAAGTGATGTGCAGAGTCTTGGAGGCTCAGGCTTGTAATCCTATCTACTCAGGAAGCCAAGGCAGGAGGATCTCAAGTTCAAAGATTGCAGGGCCAATCTGAGCCACTTAATGAGACCCTGTCTCAAAATGAAAAGTAAAGAAAGGGCTGGAAAAGGTGGCTCAACAGTAAAAATTTTGCCTTGTATCCACTATCCAGGGCCTGGGGCCTTAGAATCTCCAGTGCTGGGCGTGGTGGCGCAGGCCTGTAATCCCAGCACTCGGGAGGCAGAGGGAGGCGGGTCTCTGTGAGTTCGAGGCCAGCCTGATCTACAAAGTGAGTCCAGGACGGCCAAGGCTACACAGAGAAACCTTGTCTCCAATCCCCCACCCCCAGACCACTACCACCCCTGCAAAAAAATTTACCAGCAAGGGGCTAGAGGTGTAGTTCAGTCATGAATGGATAGCCTAGTCTGCCCTGGTTTCAGTCTCCAGCATTACGGGGTGGGGAAAAAAAGTTGTTAGCTGCATGCTGGTAAAATTTATGTGCTTTACATTATATGCTTTAGCACAGACAGTACTTAATCTATTTGGGATCGATTTAGAATTTCCAGAATGAGCTGATGTCTAGATGTGATCTCAATGTAAACCGTTTTTTCTTGCAGAAGAACTCTAAGTTACTTCTCCTATATATTTTCTCACCTGGTGAGGCCAACAGGTGTGCAATATCCTTGTGGTTTAAATCCTTGCCGCCTTGTTCCAGATTGCAGTGCCCTAAACCTCACTCCGGAACTACAACTCCCGAAAGGCTTCACGCCCTCGCCTTCCTACTTCTTCAAGACTCATAGGCACAGCTGGGCGTAGTGTCGCACGCCTGTAATCTCCGAACTCTGAGAGGCAGAAGAAGGCAGATTTCTGTAAATTCAAGGCCAGCCTAGTCTACAAAGTGAGTCCAGGACAGCCAAGGCCACGCAGAGAAACCCCGTCTCAAAACAAAAACCCTCACACGCTGTGTAAGGGGAGGATCTTCGCTCCAAGGGAAGGGACTACAACTCCCAAAGAGCTCCGCGGCCTTGCCGCCGCCGAGACCAAGATGGCCGGGAGTAAGTACAGTCTCGGGAACGCGCGCTGTGCCGAGGTAGTTTCAGGGAACCCTAGGCTGACCCGTGGCTGAGGCTCAGTCGAGCTTTGGGGCGCGGTTGGATCGGTCCCAGAAGAGGGCCGTGGCAGTCACGAGGGTGCTCTTGCAGAGCAGGGTTGGTAAGGGAGGGTTAGAGGTCATCGCAGCTACTCCCAAGGGTGATTGTTCTCCCACCTCTCCAGGAATCTTGACCTTCCTCAAGAATGCCTGGGCGAAGGAGCCGGTGCTGGTGGTGTCCTTCTCTGTCTGGGGCCTCGGTGAGTGCTCCAGGCGCGAATGTGCATCCTCTGCCCTGAGGACATCAGCATTCCACAGTTCATCTTACATCCCCTTGCCTGTCCTATCCCTGCCCTTACCACCCTACACACACAACTAGCCAAAAGATCAGCTAGGCTTGTACTTTGACTCCATAGTGCAGACTTCCTCAGGGAAGTCTGACTTACGAAAATCTTTCAGCAAGCCTCCCTGGTGAAGAACCTGCAGTAGGACAGGATGTAAACAGTTCAGGTGCACTGAAGCCCTGGGGGGTGGGGTTGTGACCGGTTCTAGTTCCAATTCTGAAGGTCTGGGATGAGGTTTGGGATTTGGCAGTCATCACAGTCCCACAGTTGTTAATATCGCTGACACGGAGTGTGATAGTGAAGTTCTAGAACCCACCACCAGCCACCCACTACTATGGCTTTCAGAGACCTAGAATTCTCTAACATGTGGTTTTAATATAGATTATATATTGAAACAATGATTTGAAGTATACTCGATTCGTTTCTTAAATTTAAAATTCCATTTGTTTATTTATGTGTGGGTGTGTGATTGCCACTAGTTAGTTGGCTGTGGTTGGGGATCAGAGGACAACTTACTGGAGTCAGTTCTCTCCTTCCATTCTGAATCCTAGGGATTAAACTCGTCGTCAGTCTTGGCAGCAGGTACTTTTACCTGCTAAGCCCTCTTATTAAAAAAAAAAAAAAAAATCCTAAGGTTAAATACTTCATAGAACTGACTTTATTTGTAGTTTTCAGTCTTTTTTTTTTTTTTTTTTACGACAGGGTTTCTCTGTCTGGGTCTCCTTTGTAGACCAGGTTAGCCTCGAACTCACAGTGATCCACCTGCCTCTGCCTCCCTGAGTGCTGGGGTCACAGGCCTGCACCACCATGCCTGGCTTCTTTTCTTAAGAGGGGAATACACAATTTATTAACTCATCAGTCTGCCCTGGCTTTGATGTGTTGAGCCACCACCCCTGCATATCTTTTTTAAATTGTGTGTGTGTGTGTGTGTTTGTGTGTGTATACATGTATGTGTGGCCTCTGCCTATAGAGACCAGAAGAGGGCATAGGATCCTTTTTCCCATAGAGTGGGAGTTATAGGCAGTTGTGAGCTACCTGACATGGCTGCTGGGAATTGAACTCCATCTTCTGGAGGATCAGCAAGTGCTCTTAACTGATGAGCCATGTCTCTAGCCCCTCCCTCACCTCTTTGTGTGTTTGCTTTTTGTGTTTTGAGACAGGGTTTCTCTGGGTAGTCTTGGCTGTCCTGGACTTCTTTGTAGACTAGGTTGTCTTCAAACTCACAGAGATCCTCCTGCCTCTGAGTGCTGGGATTACAGGCTTGTGCCACCATGCCTGGCTCCTCCCTCACCTCTTAAAAATAAATTTATGTATGTGTTTCTGTATGCCACATGTGTGAGCCTCACAAATGCCAGGTGAGTTTGTTGGAGTTAGAGAAATTGTGAGCCATCCAGCCTAGGAGCTAAACGCTGCACAGGCAGCGTTTGTAACGACTGAGCCATGTCCAGCCCTTAACATGTTCAATTGCAGATGTGAAATAACATGTGACTATGATCTTGTATCAACAGTGCTGGCCTATAACCCTCCCCTCCTGAAGACTCTAGACAATAGCCCACATGGGCTTATCCAAAAGCTACCAATCTGTGATGAGCCTTTGGGCCTCATGTGTTCCTGAGTGCTAGGCTCCAGCGGCTATGCTACTCCCCATTCTAGATTTACACTGACCTATAAGTGGGAATGGTGGAGTGTTGAGAGAGCGCACCAGTGGGCCCTCCTGGTGGTACTGGCCCTTTTTGCTCCTCTTTGCTGGAGCTCAGTTCCCACCCTTTCCCCACCTCTGGAGAGCTACTTCATCCTTGGGTCTTACATTTACGTCTTATTCCACAGCTATAACTATGCCCATGATCAGCCCCTACACCAAGTATGCAGGCATGATCAACAGGGCCATACCCTACAACTACCCAGGTGAGCAGGGATCTGTGCTGGGGGGGGGGGGCTGGCAGACAGCTGTATAGGAGTCTCTGCTGCATTTGAATGTTCTCTGTCCATACTTTTAACCTAACATGCTTTGAGTTTCTCTCCAGATTTCTGTTCTCTATCCCTGTTGGAGCTATCTCCCTTATTTGGATGTCTTTGCCTCTGCTCAATCTCTGGCCCTCACTTTCCTCTTTCTCACCTGGAGTCCTGTACTCTCTCTGTGAATATAGAGACAGATCAGCTGTTCTCCACAGGACCCTAGAGATCTGCTGGTCTCAGTGGCTCATCTTTCTGTTTTATAGTACCTGTGCGAGATGATGGGAACAAGCCTGATGTGCCCAGCCACCCCCAGGAACCTCAGGGCCCAAGCCTGGAATGGCTGAAGAACCTGTGAATACTCCTGCTGATGGCAGAGGCCCCTTCCCTGTTGCCCTCCAATAAAAATGTGAAAACCAACCTCACAATTTTCTTTGGTGGGTTCTTTTGTTGTTTTGAAACAAAAAGTCTCACTATCTATGTAGCCTAAGCTGCCTGGAATTCAGCGTGTAGCCAGGGTAGCTTCAAACTTATGACAGTCCTCCTGCCTTGGCCTCCAACCCCCAAACCTGAGTGTGATCAGAGGTGGGAGCAATAGACAGTGGCCTAGATAAGTATACACAGGGAGTCTGTTTATTGGGAAGAGAGGGTTAGTCAAAGGGTGGGCTGGCTAGGGTAGGGTAGGGTAGGAGTTTGTCTGGCCCTCGAGAAACCCAACTTGAATCCAAGGCCTCATCTGCTTCAAAGCCAAAGTCTTCCTCAACCTTAATCTGGAAAAATAAGGAACAAGATGTGAATGAATTAGGAGACATACCGCTTCCCCCAAGATAGGCACCAAATCAGCTTGTGTGGGGGCACTGGTTTCCCAGGTCATACACTTTCTGAATTCCGGCAACACTGACGGGCCTCCCTCTGCTGACTTCCTCTTCTCCCACTGTTGCCGAATCTATAGTCATTTTCTTCTTCAGGCTCTAGCCTGATATTTTTCAACTCTTTCCCTATTCCACCTAACGTCAATCCTGTGTTGACACTCTGTGCAGCCCTCCCCCGTTCTCGGTCCCTCCAAGCCCAGCTGAGGATTCTCACCACGCCTTGGCCCCAACCCTCAGCTCCCACCTGCACTGGGGCCAGTTCTGGAGTCAACGAAGCCCCCAACCGTGGTGCCCGCCGCCTTTTCCGCCCACTGGGCCCCTCGCCAGGGGCTGGGCTGCTGGAGTCTAAAGGTGCAGGTGTCCTTTGGGGTGGGGAAAGTCCTTCTTTGTCTGGAGGCTCGTTCTCAACATTGCCTGGGGTGGGGACATCTGTGCCTTGGCTGCCATCATCCTGGTAAGAGGCAAAATGGAGGCAGCTAGAGACTTTCCTGGATTCCCCATTCTCCCAAGCTGCCTGGAGACCAGAACTCACCTCCAGCACGATGGTGAACTGGCTAGCCCGGTAGTCATCCCCATAGGAGTCCAGTACCCTCATGAGGAATCTGTGGACAGAGATGCAGGCACTGGGTATCTTACCTTCTTGGGGAGGGAAATGAAAGATGACCAAGTCCAGGTCTCCCTTTACTTCAATCTAAAGTTGTCCCAAACCACAAAGGTTTGCACCTCTGTAGCCTGAGATCCCAGCCCGAGAGCCTGTCTAACCCCAAGTGTCCTACACTAGGAATAATTGGTGACATCCTTTGCTAGACTAGGTGCTCTGGTGGTAAATTCCAAAGATTGTTTTCTAAAGTACAGTGTGACTATCAGCATCTGGAAAGCATTCAATTGAATTCTAATTTTGTTGCTGATAAAGACTGAAGCCTTCAACATGCTTCACAAGTATTGTACCACTGAGCTAGAATCCCAAACTTTTTTTTTTTTTTTTGAGATAGGGTTTCTCTGTGTAGCCTTGGCTATCCTGGAACTCGATTTGTAGACAAGGCTCACCTCAAACTCACAGATATCAGCCTCTCTCTGCCCTCTAAGCACCTAGATTAAAGCTGTGCACCACCATGATTGGCTTCAAACTTTTTTGTGACAGTGTCTCACTATATCGACCTGAGTGGCTTGCCTTTGCTTCTCAAGTGCTGAAATTAAAGGTGTGCAAAAAACGATGGCTGACCTCTCAATGTTTTTGTTTTGTTTTTGAGACATTGCCAATACTCATCACCAAATAAAGCAACGTAGTAGCCCATACCAGTAATCCTAGCAAGCACGAGGATCACAAGTTCAAGGTTAGCTTGAGGCCGCCTTAGGCTACAGGAAACCATGTCTCCAGGTGGGGAGTGTGAGGTGGAAAAGCTAACTGAACGGAGGGTGTGGTAGAAAACTTCTGATAGCAGGGGCCTCTGACAAGGCCCTGAGCACTGCTCTAGGGCTGTTGATTTCTACATAAAGCAAGGAGGCAAGGCCACCCAAGTCAGGCCTCATTGGCTGTCATAAAGATCCTCACTTTTACCGAGCCAGTGAGGGCACTGTGAGGCTATGAGCAGAGGGACAGGCTGGTTGTGTGTGTATGTGTGTGTGCGCGCGCGCACACGCGCGAGTGTGTTGCGCGCTTTTCAAGACAGGGTTTCTCTGTGTTGCCCATCTTAGAACTTGATCTGTAGATCAGGCTGGCCTCACACTTAGAGATCCAGCCACTCGATCTCCTCAGTGCTAGGACTAACGGCATACAACCACCACTGACCGGCTTGTCCATCTTATATTTGAAGACTGGATGCCCAATCACCACATTTCTGATATAAAAGATCTGGGGTGGGGCTGGGGACTTGAGTTTGTAACAAGACTGCTGGTGGCAGGGTTGACACATGGCCCAGAGACCCTAAGAGAATGTGGCTGTGAGAGCTCAGAGTGTCATCAGTCTTGCTGAATTTTTACGAGGCATTTGTTCAGCTTTAGTTTAATTTATCAACTTCAAGTTTATCTACAAAGTAGATATCATCAAGTACCCTGGTCCTACCGTGAAGTAAAATCTTGGGTGGCCAGGAGGAGTGAGCATCACTATAATCTCAGCATTCAGGAGGAAACAAAAGAGGACTGTCAGACTGAGGCCAGCCTCAATACACAGGAGAACCTTTCTCTCGGGCCCAAACAAAAGGTCTGAAGAGATGGCTTAGCTGTTAAGAGCACTTGCTGTTCTATCATCAGGAAACCAGTACCCACAGTAGGTGGTTCTAACTCCAGCTCCAAGGCTCTTTTCTGGTCTCTACAGGCACCCACCCACATATGTACACATGAACACAGAAACACAAATGATTTATGTTTTTGTTTTTTCGAGACACGGTTTCTCTGTATAGTCCTGGCTATCATGGGCCCACTCTGTAGACCAGGCTGGTCTGAATGCTGGGATCAAACTAGCGTGCCACTATGCCTGGCAACAAATGATTTTTTTTTTTTTTTTAAGAAACCAATTAAACACAAACAGTAATCCCACTCAGCACTAGGGGAGGCAGAGACAGGTGGATCTCTGTGAGTTCCAAGCCAGTCAGGTCTACAAAGCAAGTACAGGACAGCCAAGGCTACACAGAGAAACCCTGTCATATAACAAAACAACAACAACAAAAAAACAAACAAACAAGGGCTGGAGGGATGGATGCATGCTGCTTTTCCTGAGGACCTGAGTTCAGGTCCCAGCACCCTCACTGGGTGGCTCACAACCACCTATATGACTCCAGCTTCAGGGAATCTTCTGGCATCTGTATCCATATGCACATAAATAAAAAACAAAGTTCTCTTTAAAAAAGATTTACTTATTTAGTATCTATACAGTTCTGCCTGCATGTGTGCCTGCATGCCAGAAGAGGGCACCAGATCTTATTATAAATCCTTATGAGCCACCATGTGGCTGCTGGGAATTGAACTCAGGACCTTTAGAAGAACAACCAGTGCTCTTAACCTCTAAGCCATCTCTCCAGCTGGCCCCCTCCAAACCTCCCCACCCCACACCAAAAATATAAAGTCTTAACAACAAGAAAAAGCTAGGGATGTGCCTCAATTAGTGGCGAATTTGTCTAGCCTGTGAGGAACCTTGGTTCAGTCCCCTCTACCACATAAAACTGGACACAGTAGCACATGCTTGTAATCTCAGCATTTTGGAGGAGAAAGGAAAAATCTCAAGTTCAGGAATAGTCTGGAGATACATGAAACAAAAACAGGCTGGCAAAATGTCTCAAGGCGTAAAAGTGGTTGTCAAGTAAGCCTGACAATCTAAGTTTGATCTTCAGAACTCACAATGGAAGGAGACAACAGACTTTTTTTTTTTTTTTGAGACAGGGTTTCTTTGTATAGCTCTACAGATCCACCTGCCTCTGCCTCCCCAGTGCTAGGATTACAAATGCCACCGAGCCTGGCTGAGAAGAGACTTTCAAAATTTGTATGAGGAGGAATGTTAATTTAGTACATGGCTTCTCTGGCAAGAGATCACATCCAAAGATCTTCTAGGTCTGTGTGATCCAGCTGGAATACACAGCTGGTCCAGTCGTGGTCGTACAAACCTTTAATCCCAAACATGTGGTGGTGCATGCCTCTAATCTCAGCATTCAGGGAGGCAGAGGCAGGCGGATCTCTTGTGAGTTCAAGGCCAAGCTGGTGTGCAAGCTGGTGAGTCCAGGACAGCCAAGGCTACAGAGATACCCTGTCTTGGGGGAAAAAAAAAGAAAAAAAGAAAAGAGAGAGAGAGAGAGAAAGAAAGATAGACAGGAAGGAAGGAAGGAAGGAAGGAAGGAAGGAAGGAAGGAAGGAAGGAAGGAAGGAAGGAAGGAAGGAAGGGAAAGAAAGAAAGAAAGAAAGAAAGAAAGAAAGAGAAAGAAAGAAGAAAGAAGGAAGGAAAGAAGAGAGAGAGAAAAAAGAAAAGAAAGAGAGAAAGATGTCTAATTTGTGTGGCAGAAACAGTGACAAATCAGAGAAATATATGACAGACTAGGATATGCCCAATTCTCAAGAGAAGAGAGAGGAAAGCAAAGCTACTTAAGGGGCAATGAGAGAGAAGAGAAGCAGTTTTACCAGGATAGTAATGAGAGAGGAGAGAGAGAAAGAACAAGCTAGACACAGGTGAAGGCAGAACGAGCCAGAGAATGAAAAGGAGCCAGAAGATTAGAAAAGGTTGCTGGAGTTAGGCTGAGGCCAAGCAGAGCAATTCAGAGGCCAAGAGAAATTCCAGGTTGAATAAGTTAACTGGGAGAGGAATTTGAACCAGAACAGCTGAATTGAATGAGCCAGCTATGAACTCAGAAGAAACAATAAAGGGTGAGCTTATTTAACAGTAAGTCTCAGAGGCTGAAAACATTCTAGGCCTCGGTTAGACTGTATGGAGGCTAGAAGCTTCTACGACTAGGCCTAGGTTAGCGGAAGGAGGCAGCAAGCCTCCGAGACAGTGAACCAGGAGAATAGAAGTTCTTTTTACAATTGTCCTCTAACCTTTATACGTGCATGTGGCATTCATACCCATACTCAACCCCTCCTCCCTAAGCCACAGAATGTTTTGTAAGGACAGATGGTACAGGGCACGTGCTGTCAAACAACAGAGCAGACATGGCCATCTTTGGCACATGGTGAAGGTGACTTTTAGTTCAATCATTAAAGTAACTGCTTAATGGCAATTATTTTTAAATTAGTCACCTGCCCTGCGGCTAAGGACATGCAATGTGGCCAGTACGACCCAAGAAATGGTTTTTAGAGGACTGTTTGAGGAGACCAGAAGGTGACGGCAGATATCCTGGAGCAGGAGCTACAGGAGGTTGTGAGCTGCCTGATGTGGGTGCTGGGAACTAAACTCAGGTCTTCTGGAATAGCATCAAGTGCTCTTAACCACCCAGCCACCTCTCCAGTCCCACACTGTTTCCTTTTACAGTCACAGAGACTGAACCCAGGGGCTAGAGAGATGGCTCAGTATTAAGAGCGCTGGCTGTCCTTCCAGGTTTGACTCATGGTGGCTCACAACCTTCTGTAACCCAGGGGATCTAATGCCCTCTTTCTGGCATCCTTGTCTACTTTACACGTTTGGCGCACAGGCAAACAGGCAGGCCAAGCACCCATACAAGTAAAATGAAGTTCTAAAAGGACAGAGATGGAATGCAGAGCCTTGCAGATTCTAGGCAAATGCTCTACTGCTGGGTCATATGTCCAGCACTTCTTGGGGAATTCTAGGCAGGCGATCTACTAATGAGCTACACATACCCCAGGCCTTCACTGGAGGATTCTAGGCAAGTATTTTATTACTTCTTAAGTCTATCCCTAGCCTTCCTTTTTTTTCTTTTCAATAAATTTGATTTATTTTTTATTGTGTACAGATATTTTCCCACATATATGTACACCATGTACATTTCTGATGCCCACAGAGGCCAGGCAGTTGCAAGCTGCTGTGAAGGTGGTGGAAATTGAACCTGGGTCCTCTGCAAAAACAGTACACACTCTTCACCACCAATCCACCTCTCTGGTTCTTAAATTTAAATGTTAACTTATCAAATATAAGCAAAAATGGCCGTCTGTAGCTAGCAGCTTCCACACCTGACAATGAATCACGGGGAACTGACTACTGGGTGAGGCTCTGAGAGCATGAAGATAGACCAACAGAGATGGTGGAGAGAGAACAGCCTAGGAGGACTAAGACACCAGGAAAGTGTTCTAAGGGAGGGTCACGGGGGCAAATGTGCCAAGCTGTGGAGCTGAGGTGGGAAGAACTGGGTGGTTACGGCCTCACGAACTCTGAATCATAAGCATGTTCCTGTGTCAGTGGGACATAGCAGGTGGGCAGCCGGTGTAGAGCTCACATCGACAGCAGTGGCCTGCAGGTGGTACTGATCTGGCTTGTCACTGTGAGCGCTTAGCTCAACCCTCACTGCAGCCTCTTGCTGCTGCTGCTACCCTTAGTGTTGAAGGATGCAGCTCAACACATCTGTGCTGCTTCCTTCCTACTGTCCTCTCTTACAGGGGGCAAACACTGTCACACATACACTTTACCCTATCCTAGGCCAGCTCTTCTCTCCAAGACCCACTTCCACTTCTCCATTTATCTCATTCTGGGCACTTATCTTCAGTTTTGTCCTTGTGCCTTGGGAAGCCAGGAAGATGAGAGCTGGTGGAAACGTGTGAGAGCAAAGGTGTTGGGCCCACAGAGCATGCACAATGGTACCTGCGCTCCTGCTGGAGTCTCCGAGTTATCCTTTGCACCTGATGGAGCCTGTTCAAGACTCGCTCATTCACCTGCAGGAAGACAGAAGAAATAAATGGTTTGAATGAGCAGTGTCCTCAAAGACTCTGCTTTTGGATACATGCTGCCCAGTTGTTGGCACTCTTTGGGGAGGTCTAGGAGGTGTGGCCATACTGGAAGAGGTATGTCACTGGGGCAGGCTGTGAGTTTTCAAAAGCCCCACACCATTCCCAGGGCTGCTTCTCTGCTTCCTGCTTGCTGTTCAAGATGTAAGATCTTGGCTTCCTCATGCCTCTACTCCACCATTGTACATGTGAACCTTCTGGAATCCTAAGCTAAAATAAACTCTTTTTTTTTTTCTTTCTTTTTCTTGCTTTCTTTTTTTGAGACAGGGTCTCACTCTGTAGCTCTGGCTGTTCTGGAACTCACCCTGTAGACCAGGCTCACCTCGAACTCACAGAGATGCACCTACATCTGTCTCCCTGAGTGCTGGGATTAAAGGTATGTGCCACTCTTTCTTAAGTTGTCTTGGCCATGGTATTTCAGCACAGCAACAGAGAAGTAATTAATACAGAAGCCCAGGTCGGCTGTTTCGTCCAATGTCTTATTCATTTACTCTGTTTCTAATGGTGTGTCTTCCATGTACCTGGCTCTATGGAGACATTGCAGGGCCCAAGGCCCTACTTAATTCACTCCTTTCTCCTGCTCCTCATGAATTGATCCTCCCCCTCATCTTCACCTGACTGGCACCACCTGGCTCTCCAGAGCACACTCCTGGGCTAGGGATGATCTTTCCACATGGATTCCCTATTTTTTGGCTCACTTTCCCCCAACTGTCACATTTCAGTTAAAATGTCACCTACTCAGGGAGTCACCTTAGGCCTCCCCCATTCACTCAATCTATCTGTCTATCTCTCTCTCTATCTTGAGCTAGCATCTTACCATGTAGCCATGGCTGGCCTGGAACTCACAGAGCGCTGTCCCCCTTTATTTTTTCTTAAAACTCACATCTTCTTTAATTGGTTTGCTGATTACCTGTCTCCCCATCCACAATGTAAGCTCCCTAATGACAGCAATGTTTCTGTGTGTCCTCAGTCTTAGCAGAGCATGCCTGGTACTGCCTCAGTCAAACCTTGCTGAATGAATGATTACAGAACTTTTCACTTTGAATCTGAAATACCCCTTTTTTAGTTACTGTTCTATTGCTATCATGAAACAGCATGACCCTGGCAAATCTTATAAGAATGCATTTAACTGGGGGCTTGCTAATAGTTTTAGAGGGTTGGTCCATAATCATCATGGAGGAAAGTAGACAGGTGGGGCTCTAGAGCAGTAGCTGAGACCTTTACATCTTAATCCACAGGCAGAGAAAGAGACTGGGCCTAACATGGGCTTTTGAAACCTCAAAGCCTACCCCCAAACAGTCCTCCAACAAGGCCACACCTCATAATCCTTTCCAAATAGTTTACCAACTGGGGATAAAGCACGCTAACATACAATACTATGAGGGCTCTTCTCATTCAGTCACCACACCCTCAAAGGCTCAAGGTTTCAGAGTGGCCCTCAGTTGTTGGTATGAAGCTTGGGAAAGTTTGGGTATTGGTGCCTGCCTAGCAGAAATCAATTACTAGGGTTGGGCCTTTGAAGGTTAGACCCAGTACGTGGTTCTTGTCTCCCTCTCTGCTTCCTGGTACAGAATGATGTAAAAAGCCTTTGCCACATGTTCCTGCTGACACAAACTGAGCGGCTCCACCAAGTATCCTTGCCACAATGGACTGAAGCCATGAACCAGAATAAATCTTTCCTCCCTTAAGTTGCTTCTGTTGGGTGCTGAGGTCACAGCAATGTAAAGATCATTATTAATACGAGCACCAAAGTGTTTGGCAGACACAGTGTACATGTCAGGTATCAGAGCAGAAGATAGCCCCTGTAATAAGAGCAATGAGAACACCTTTAAGCCAACACAAATAGGAAGCAGGTCGGGAAGAAAACACTCCAGGATCAGGGAACAGCCCGTCAAGGTTCCGAAGACCCAGCCTACGCATGGGAGGAAAGGGTTAAGACTCAGCCAAATAGAGCCCAAGACACTGGCTAACACATATGCTCCTTCTAATTAGAAAGAGTGGCACTTGCCTGGCTCTGCCACTCATCAGCTGCAGGATTCTCACATGTTACTCAGCTTGGGGTTTCTGCATGTGGAATCTATTCTAAGTGGAGTGGATTAAGAACAGAGGCTTGGGGGGTGGAGCAACAACTCAGCAGGTAAGAGTGCTTACTTGGGAAAAGGGGCTGCTGAAGAGACAGCTCATCTATAAAGAATGCTGGTAGTTCTTCCAGAACACTCAGACTCAAGTCCCAACATCCACATAGTAGTTAACAACCAACTCTAATTCGAAGGGATCCAAAGCCCTAGTCCAGCCTCTGCGGGTACCAAGCATGCACATGGTGCAGACATACATGTAAGCTCATAAAATATGCATATATTTTATACATGTATATAAAATATGTAAATATGTATATATGCATATATAAACAAACATATACAATACACATAAATAAATATATATGAAGAGAGAGACAGAGAGTTTGCTGCTCTCTTAGAAGACCAGAATTTAGAACCCAGCATCCACACTAGATAGCTCACAAGCCCCCTTTCTGGACTTTGACATTGACCATCCACACTTTGTACCCCTGCTAAACAGCATTTGGAATCCCTCCCAATCTCCTTGTCCCCAGCTTCTCCCCTCCCAGAACATGCACACACTATTGTTACAGGCTGTCAAAGATTTGTTGGAATCCTAACCCAGTACTTCAGAAAGTGAGCATTTTGAAAAACAGGATGATCTCAGAAGCAGGCAGGTTCAATAGAGGTCACTGGAACACAGCCTAATCTGACTACTGTCCTTATAAAAGGAGAAACTGAGACACTGACACCCCCCCCATACACACACACACAGAAGCTGTGAGAAGGCGAAGACAAGAAATGGGGTGACATTTCTGCATATCAAAGACTTCCGGCAACTGCTGAAGCTGGGAAGGAAGCCTGACTCCTTCTCCCTCAGCGCTCAGAGGCTCTGCCAACACCTTGTCCACGTCCCTAAAACTGTCAAGAAGTGAATATCCTGTTCACCTACCAGTTTGTGATACTTTGTCAGAGCAGCCAGAGCACACTGGATGCAATTGTCTGCCGAGCCTTTCAGACACTCAGACCTGCCTCTGTGCCCCTGTAGGCTGGTGTGTTGGTCATGCCCCTCCAGCCCCACATCCCTGTGTGCATTAGTTTCAAGTCCCTGGCCAGCTTTCATTTATCCAAAGAGAAAATCCCAAACTTGTTTGGTGTTCCCGCCTCACTAAGACCTACGCTCTGCCCACTGTTCCTTCCTCCTTCTTACTAAGTGAACTTAATGACTCACTTGATGAATTAATCTGAGAGAAAGATCCAAGGGAAATTTAAGAGGCAGAGTAGGTGAGCCTGGGGGTGCCTGGGATTCAGAGCAGGGGATCTACCAGGCTGTAATGAGTGAAATGTGTGAGAGTCACCTGTGACACATGAGAAGACAGAGCAGGTATCTGATGCTGTGATGGTGATTGTTGATGTCTCAACTTGACAAGATCTAAAAATCGCCTAAAAGACAAGCTCTTATCATGTCTGTGGGAGTTTCTAGACTGGTTTAACTGAGGTAGGAGGATCCACTGTAAATGTGGGCAACACCATTCCATGGACTGGAATCTGGAGCTGAATAAAAAGGAAAAGTCACGCTGAGCACCAGTATTCATTTCTCTCTTCTTCTTGCAACATGACTAACTGTCTCATGTTTTCAACACCATGCCTTCTCTGCCATGACATATCCTCAAACTCTATGCCAAAGTAAGTCTTTCCTCAAGTTTTGTCCGGTATTTTGTTACAACAAGAAATATATCGAATACAGATGTTCGGGAAGAGAAACACTCAGGGTGCCTGGTACAGAATTAGAGCCTCATTTTTTCAAGTACAAGAGGAAACGGACAAAGAAGGAAACTAGAAGGAGGAAGCAGCTTAGGCCTGAGGACCCCCAAATGAGAATCTACACTCACCTACCTGCTCGATCTCCCGGCAGCGCCGACCTAGCGCCTGGTATTTTCTTCGATTTAGTTCTCGTTGGCGACGCCTGCGACCCCGGGCTGCCTCTTCCTCTTCATCTCGCTCCCGGAGTCCTGAACCACTCAGACCACCGGACACAAACTCCACTTCTGTCTCTAACTCACTTTCTAGGATGTGGCCACCAAACAGGGGAGGCAGAGCCAGCTCTGAGCCTGGTGGCGCTGAGAATTCTTCAAAGCCCACGGCTGCCATGGTCCTGTAGGGCAAAGAGGTTTCAAGAACCCTGCATTAGTACTCTCCAGTCTCTCCTCAGAGGCTCGGGTCCAGTACTCAGGCCCCATCCCTCATACCCAGGAGCCTAGACCCTAACCTTTCTCCCTCACACCCATGGGTCCAGGCCCCAGTCCTCCCTAACACCTAAGAATCAGACTCTAGCCTGCTCCCTCAGACCTAGAATCCCACACTCCAACCTCCTTGCTCTCAGATCCAAGAGGACACACAACTCTGAAGTCTTCTCTCCTAGGATGCTCCAGTACAGGCCCCGGTACCCCCAAAAAGATACAAAAGAAAGCAACCGCACGAACTACAATCCTCACAATCCCTGAGAGCTTTACGGCCGATCGTTGCACACTACGCAGCCGTGTTTTCGGATTATCCATTTACACAAAGATCATTTTACTCACCCCTCTCTCTGTTCCAGCTCCATTTCTCTGGTCAAGAGACACTTCAAGCTTCAGAGCAGTGGAGCCGAGCGGAAAACTACCTGTCCCATCAGGCCTCGGGACAAAGGAGACTTTATTGCCTTCTGGGAAGTATAGTTTCCTACACCGCCTTCGTTTGCACCCGAAGTTGCGGGTTGAAGCTCTTTTTTTTACTCTAGCGCCTTCACCGATAGTCTACGTTGTCACCATCTCTATTCCTGTCTCGTCTCCGTGTTTGAGCCAACGCTATTTTCCGCTTAACAGGCTCAATCCACGGCGTGGTATGAGTTCGCCGGGCTCTGTTCGCCGCTGTTCCTGTCGCCGTTCCGCAGGGCAGCTACTAATAAAGTTGTTGTCCAAACGCTGCCGGAAATGTTGCAGAAGCGGCCAATCAAAATACAGATTTATCGGCGCCGACTAAAACGTCATTAAAGAGCGCGGACAGCTCTGGGGAAGCGGATTTCTTAGAAACGTTCGTGAGAGGATACAAGCGGTGAGTGTGGTGAAGAAGGGAGGGCGGGAAGCCAAGATACTGGGTCTGGAGGAGAAAATGCTGTGGTCGACTTAAATCATAGCCTAAGAAATAACGAGCTATGAAGCGCTTTAAAACCAATATTCAGTACCTGCGTGGATCACAACATAATTTAGGCCGGAATGGGGCATGTGGGCCAGACAGGTGGAATGTGAGAGCTGAAGGCACGGTGAGGGAAATATCCAGGTTAGGCAAAGGGAAATGGTTGCTCAAAGACCCAGAGGTGTAGGGAGAAGTTGCCAGGTCAGGTGGTACCTGGAGGGGTGAGCTGTGTTCTGCGTGGGTAGGAACTGGAGATGTCCACCATGAACAAAACAAACTGTGGAGCCTGCATGCTGTTACAGGAGCTGATGAAGAAACTTCAGGGGACTGGGGAGAAGGTGCTCCTTTTGTTACTATGAAGGGAAAGAGTCAAGGTGCAGTATTAGGGAACCCCGTTCTCACTTTCCTATAGGCCTTGGGATGTCTCTGGCTGATGAGCTCTTGGCTGATCTTGAGGAGGCAGCAGAAGAAGAGGAAGGAGGAAGCTATGGAGAAGAAGAGGAGGAGCCAGCAATTGAGGATGTCCAGGAGGAGACACAGCTGGATCTTTCTGGGGATTCAGTCAAGAGCATTGCCAAGCTATGGGATAGCAAGATGGTGAGGTGGTACTTTATGAGTGAATGTTCTTGGGAGGAGTGGTAGGAACAGCAATTCTTCTTTCTGAGAGCCCTAGTTTCTGACTATGCTCTCCTTCATCAGTTTGCTGAGATCATGATGAAGATTGAGGAGTATATCAGCAAGCAAGCTAAAGCTTCAGAAGGTACCACCTCACCCTCCCTTTCTTCTGTCTGTTTTTCTGACCTCATGGCTCTCTTGCTCCCTGTGCAACATTGAATGTCTCTCCCTCCTCAGCTTCCCCCAGAGCACTCACCCTCTTTTCCGTCGGAGTTACTGACCCTTCAAAAACAAACTGCACTGTACCCAAGCATGTTGATGTGTGCTTATAATCTCACCATGTGGGAGACTGAGGCAGGAGATACATGAATGGGTTCAAGTCCATCCTGGGCTACACAGTGAGGTCAGATCAGCCTGGGTAAAAGCTTGTCTCAAAAATATTTGCATACATGGAGTTGGAGAGATGGTTCAGAGTATCTGCTACTTTTCCAGAGGACTTGTATTTGGTTCTTAGCATCCACATGCTCATAACTATCTGTAACTCCAGTTCTTGGGGATCTGACACCTTCTGGTCTCCACAGGCATTACAGATGCATTATGCACATCAGGCAACACACACACATAATATAAAAAATTTTAGAAGAAAGTGAGATGACACCTATGTTAAAAGAAAGGAAGACAATATATACATGTTACTTTGTAAAACTGATAAGTCCTATGTGTTTCTTTTTGTGAGAGGAGTTATCTCTGGGTTCCCTGAACAATAGGCCTTTTCTACACCCACAGACCATGTATATGTATGTGTGTGTGTGTGTGTGTGTGTGTGTGTGTGTGTGTGTATTCATATATTCTTAAATATGGAGACAGTCTCTCACTCTGTAGCCCAGACTGACCTGGAAGTCACTGGGTGGCCTACAATGGCCTTTAACTCTCACCCACCATCCTTCTTCAGCCTCCGGAGTGTGTGGACTATAGGCAGAAGCAACCATGCCCAGCCTACAGTCCTCACAGAAGGGACTGACTGTCCATGCATTAGGTCAGGGAAGAAGTGACACCCCAATTGGAATTTGAGAACTTGTGCCAGCCCTGGGGAAGGAGCAAGGCTTGTCTCAAGTCAGTGCGCCAGGGGTCTCAGAAAGGTTACAACTTCTACAGGACTCCAAGTGTCAGGCTGAGGAACTTCCTACTCCATAAAGCCAAGAAAAGTCACAGAAAGTGACATTTCCTGATGTTGGGTCTGATGAGTCAGGCCTGTTCATATCAGGTATCTATCTAATGGGGGAAATAGACACAAAGCATGGCTAGCAGAGGTGGCCCAATTCATGCAGAGAAGACATCTCATTCTAAAAGGGGAGGGAAGTTTCTTCATCACCCTTTCAGTTTTAATGACCTAAAGGAACACTTGAGACCACATTATTCAATACCAATATAATTGTCTATGCATAAAATAGGATTTTTAGAAACAGACTTAAGGAAGGAACAGTTCAGAGAAATGGAGCAGTACTTGTGAAGGGCAGGAGGAGTAAAACAGCTGTGGGTGCCCAAGAAGGCAGAAAGGATATGCTGTGGAGCTGATGAGTCAGCAGGTCTCCCTGGAGTGACTCCTGTGCTGTGTGCACCAAGGCTACGGGTGTGGGGGACATGGACCTAGTACTTGTTCTTGTTGGGCCTCCATAAATAGGGGAGACCTTGAGTGCCAGTGTGAGGATCTTGTCCATTAGCCTCAGGGCTTTGGAGAGCCACAGAAGGGTTAGTTTTAGAGCAAGAAGAGGTCAAGACCATATTGGCCCAGAGGATGGACTGTACAAGAAAGTTGAGAGGCCGGAATAAGGCTCCTGAGGAGGATTGCAAGCCCCTAGTGCGTGCTTCAGTCCCTTACCCTCTGCCCCTCCTTTCTGATTCCATCCAGCCTCAGCCCCAGCCCCAGCTTTGTGACTTAAGAGGCATGGGTGTCCCTCTCCAATCTACACTCCTTCTTCTTCGTAGTGATGGGACCAGTTGAAGCAGCCCCTGAGTACCGAGTCATTGTGGATGCCAACAACCTGACTGTGGAGATAGAAAACGAGTTGAGTGAGTGATGGGAAGAGCCATGGTGACACCCTCGTCCTATGCTCTTCACTCTTTCTCTGTGACCCAAAGGGAAGAACAGGCATGAACCTGGGCCTCTTTTGTTTGCTTTTGCTGGGCAAAAACACTTCCCTGACTAGATTCACCATCTGTAATAAGCTAATTTACATAAAGAGAAAATGCATTCTCCTTTAGCAACGTCTGAATAAGCAAAGCAGGGCTGGAGACACCCCCCGCCTTTTTTTTTTTTTTTTTTTTTTTTAGATTATTTATTATTTATACAGCACTCTGCCTGCATGTGTGCCTGCATGCCATCTCTCCAGGCCCCTGAAGACACTCTTTGACCCCCTTCATAGGCCAGGTCTTCACCTGCTTCATGCTCCAGGGTGATTGTCTCACCTCCACATCCCTACCTGCAAATTTGGAGGGAAGATAAGGCATGGTTCTTTCCTTAAGGAAGCTGAAGGGGCTGGAGAGATGGCTCAGAGATTAAGAGCACTGGCTGTTCTTCCAAAGGTCCTGAGTTCAAGTCCCAGCAAACACATGGTGGTTAATTACCATCTATAGTGGTATACTAGTGATATCTATACTAGTGATATCTAGTATCCTTTTCTGGTGTGAAGGCAAACATACAGGCAGAACATTGTATAAATAATAAATATTTTTTTAAAAAATGAAATTGAAAATGCCACTTCCATTCATGTCTTGTAGAACTATGTAGAACAGACTCCCACCTGCACAAAGCACTGGGGACAGCCAGGAAATGTAGACTCCATGCTGGCACCAAACCATGGTTTGGGGTTGTTTACTAGGGAGGTGGAAGTGGGTGATGGGATAGCAGCAGATCTGCCTCCCCCTCAGTGGACACCTGCCCTCCCTATCCCATTTAGACATTATCCACAAGTTCATCCGGGATAAGTACTCGAAGAGATTCCCTGAGCTAGAATCTTTGGTCCCCAATGCTCTGGATTACATCCGCACAGTCAAGGTGAGTGGAGAGGAGTCTGTTTCAGAAAGAACTGGGGCTTTGGGTGTAGAAATAATGGAGAGCTATGAATGGGGCTCAGCGGGGAGGGGCAGATACTGGAAAGGATGTCTCACACACATCTCTTGCTTCTTTCCTCCCTTGGTTTTGTGGGAGGATCACTGCTGACACAGCCCTTGCCTCTGGCTGCAGTTGAACAGGTATCCTTTTAGGTGGGATCTGAAGGCTGACATCAGAGGCCACAGCTGAATAAGAGCTAAGACCCTGAGTGGGAACAATCAAGGAGGAAGTACAAAGGGGTAGGGAGAGGAGCTTGGACAGGTCAGAAAGACCTGAGAGATGGAAGGGTTTGGCTCCTCTGGGAGAAGTGATGGGAGCAGGTGGAGGGGAAGAAGCAAGCAGGATCCTGTGTCTGTGCAAGAGATTAGGATGGTGGCAGAGGAAGTCTGTCTCTAAACAAGAGTGTGTTCTTGAAGGCTTCTTTAGTGCAGTATGTCTTCCTTGGAGGCCATTTTGCCCAGGTTCTGGGTCAGCAGAGCAAGCAGCACTGATGCTTTAGGCAGTGAAGTTGTAAAACTGTAAAAGGCAAGAGAGGCTTCTAGTATATGAACCTTAGCGTTCCTAGCTTCCTCCAGGAGAGACTTGTGTTAGTGTTGGAGCAGAAGACCTAGTATCTTCTGGGTTTACTACAATTTTTCTCTCTCCTCCCTTTACCCCCCAGGAGCTGGGCAACAGCCTGGATAAGTGCAAGAACAATGAGAACCTCCAGCAGATTCTGACCAATGCTACTATCATGGTTGTCAGTGTCACTGCCTCCACCACCCAGGGGTATGTATGCTGTATGGTAAGGTGCTGCAAGCCTACCATAGGACAGCTAATAGCAGAAACCGGAAAGGGCAGAATGTAGTCATGGTCAGGGTATGCTGGCTGAGAACTATGGCCCCTAGGCTTACAGAATTTGGGATAGCCCCATAGCTACGCAAACAAACATGCATACATAGGTGAGAAGGTGGGTGGAGCTGACCACCAGTTAGAAATGCCCCCAGCAGAACTGGGGTCTGCTCCCAACCCTCACCTGCTCCACAATTTAGGCAGCAGCTGTCGGATGAGGAGCTAGAGCGACTAGAGGAGGCCTGTGACATGGCACTGGAACTGAATGCCTCCAAGCACCGCATTTATGAGTATGTGGAGTCCCGGATGTCCTTCATTGCACCCAACTTGTCCATCATCATTGGAGCATCCACAGCTGCCAAAATCATGGGTGAGGTCCCAGCTGGGTCCCATGGGCTGGGTCTGTTGCTTTAGGGTTGCTTTAGAGATGTGGGGTGTGGCCTTAAGAGCTCTAATATATTCTCTGAAGACCGAAGTCAGCCAGCTTTGCAAATACACATAATAGAAGCATAGGAAACCCTTGTTTGGTTTGGTTTGGTTTTTTTTCAAGACAGGGTTTCTCTGTGTAGCCTTGGCTGTCCTGAACTTGTTTTGTAGACCATGCTGGCCTCTAACTCACATAGATCTACCTACCTCTGCCTGCCCAAGTGCTGGGGTTATAGGCATGTGCCACCACACCGGGCATACAAACTATGCTCAAGCAGGTTGCACAGATGACAAGTCAGTCTCTTCCTGCCAGCAGGTCCATTTTGAACCTGGAGCAGCCACAGAATACTAAAGATAGCTCTCAGACCCTCAGGCTTTCCTACTAGATGGGACAACAAATCCTGCCATGTGCTATGTGCCTCTTCCCAGAAGTTCCTATAGCTAGAGTTCTTCCCTTCCTTGCAGAGAGATGCTTGCAAAGAAAATATGGGAAAGCTACCATCTTTGTTCACTTAGCTTCAGTCTTGTGTCCCATGGGACAGGATGCTTATTCTCCTGAGGCTGCTGTTTCAGAGTTGACAAGTCTGAGACCAAGGTGCTATCAGACCTCTCCTGAAGCCTCTTGCTTGGCTCAGACATGTCTTCTATGTCTTCATGCAGCCATGCCACTGTATCTCTCTCCTTATTTTCTTTTCTTAGAAGAATGCCAGTCAGATAGAATCAGAATCCATATGACCTCATTTTGCCTTAGCCATCTCCTTAAAGATTCTGTGTCCTGGGCCAGAAAGGTGGCTTAGCAGGTAAAAGTACTTGACACAAACCTGACAACCTGAGTGTGATCCCCAAACCCACATAAAGGGGGAGAGAGCTGAGTCCCATAAGTGTCTTCTGATCTCCATGCACACACCCTACTCACACATAAAATAATAAAAATACTCCTCACCCCACCAAAGGAAAATAAAAAGATCCTATGTCCTGCTAGATGCAGTGGCTCATAACAGTAATCCCAGTATTTGGAAGGCTGAAGCAGAAGGATTGCTTTGAGTTTGAGGCCAGCCTTGGTTACAGAGTGAAATACTGTCTCAAACCAGCCAACAAATGAATGTGTAAGGTTGTCTTAGTCACTGTTCTATTGCTGTGAAGAGACACCACAATTAAGGCAACTTATAAAAGAAAGCATTTAACTGGGGCTTGCTTACTCTTTTAGAGGCTTAAGCCATTATCATCATGGCAGGGAGCATGGCAGCAGACAGGTGTGGCACTAGAGATGTTTCTGAGAGCTATATGATGATCCACTAGCACAGAAAGAAATTGGACCTGGCATGGGCTTTTGAAACCTCAAAGCCTACCCCCAGTGACACACTTCTTCCAACAAGACCACACCTCCTAATCCTTCTAATTGATCACTTCCCAGTGACTAAGCATTCTAATATATGAGCCTGTAGGGGGACATTCTTACACCACAAAGGTACACATGAGTTCCTGGCTGTGAGCCCTGTGTTCTTCTGATCTCACCTTTTGTTGCAGGTGTGGCCGGAGGCCTGACTAACCTCTCCAAGATGCCTGCCTGCAACATCATGCTTCTGGGAGCCCAACGCAAGACACTGTCTGGGTTCTCCTCTACCTCAGTGCTGCCCCACACTGGCTACATCTACCACAGTGACATTGTGCAATCTTTGCCCCCAGTGAGCCCTTTACCTTGTCCCCTGTCCCCAACCCCCATGCCTTACTTGGCTTGGCTGACAATAGCCCTCAGGCACCTGGATGATGAAGCAACATGGTTTAGAAGAGCAAGGACACCATTCTGTGGCCACCACTTGGCAATGAGGATGGTTGGGTGGCTGGAAACTGGGAGCCTTGCAGTTGGGCAGCTAGAAGCTGTTAGTGCATGAGCTCACAGATGTGAGACCTACCTACCAGAGCCTGCAGTATGGCTGACCCTAGATGAGAAATGACCATTGCGGTGCATGTTACCTTTGCCTCTAGAGGTTCAGTTTCTTCTTCCCTTTCTGTTGCTCCAGGATCTCCGGCGGAAGGCAGCCCGGCTTGTGGCTGCCAAGTGCACACTAGCAGCCCGTGTAGACAGCTTCCATGAGAGCACAGAAGGGAAGGTGAGGAGAGGAAGGCATCTGTCCCTGGGGCTTGGGTCTTTCTGTGGGAAGAAGCTACTTCAGAGAGCTCACTGGACTAACAGATGAATGTTTGCGTCTACAACCCCAACTCAGGTTATCACCTCACCTCTGTGCAACAGATCACTGTAGGTGAAGTGGCTTCATATAAGAGTTTGCCAGGTCTGGAAGCTCATATCTTTAACATTAGTGCTTGGGAGGAGGAGGGAGAGGCAGGATGATCACTAGTTTGAGGCAGCCTGACCTATATAATGAGTTTCCGTGGGACCCTATCTTTGAAAAAATAAAAAGCACAGGGTTGGAGATATGGCTAAATCAGTTAGGTTCTTCCATGCAAGAGTGAGGACTTCAGTTCAGTTTTCAACATTGACATGGAAAAGCCAAAAACAAAATAAAAAACAAAAAAGCCAAACAGACACAGTAGTACATGCCTATTACCCCAGTTCTGGGAAGGTGGAGGCAGAAGGGTATCTGGAGCTTAGGGCCCTCTCAACCAAATCAGTAAGCTCCAGATTCAGTGAGAGACCCTGTCTTAGGAAATAATGTGAGGAACCTGGGTGGTGGTGGTGGTGGCGCATGCCGTTAATCCCAGCACTTGGGAGGCAGAGCCAGGCAGATCTCTCTGAGTTCAAGGCCAGCCTTGTCTACAGAATGAGTTCCAGGACAGCCAGGGGTATAAAGAGAAACCTTGTCTCGGAAGAAAACAAACAACAACAAAACAAAAAAATGAGTAAATAAGGTGAAGAGTAAGTGAAGAAGCCATGTGCTATCAGTCTCTGGCCTTGTGTGTGCACACACATACACACTCTCACTGAACTAACATCAGGGTGTTAGTTGGGCTGTTCCTATTTGTAGGCTCCTGGGAAGAAATGTTCCTGCCCCTGTCAGCACCAGAGGCCACCAGCCAAGGCAGCATCTCCAGCCTCTCTGACTCTGCTGGTTTGGGGCCCCTTGTAGGATACTGAGCCCACACTGACAATGCAAGGTACTGTCGCATCTCAGTCATTAACCTAGGCACATCTGCAAAGATCCTCTGCCAGGGGATCTGTAGGTACAGATTCTAGAGGCCAGGGCACTTGACACCAAAGCAGATCCCTGTGTTGAAGGGGCCAGTGTTTTGCCCACCACAGTAAGACCTGTTCTCAGTAGAGAGATGATTCCAATAGTACCTCCTATTTTCCTGGGTGGGCTTAAGAAGTACTGAGTCACTGCTGTGTGCATTGCCCTGCTAGAAATTCCATCACAGCCCAGGTCAGGGGTTCAGTCTCTTTTGCCTTTTGTCGCTATCTAAACATGGCAGTACAGCAGGGACACATGTCAGATGTCTGCCTCCAGGCTTTTGTTTGCTTGCTTTTTGGTACTGGGACTGAATCTAGGACAGTACACATACTAGACAAGTGATCTACCACTGAGCTATATCCTTAGCTCACCGCCACTTACAGCCCTTTTTAGACAGTTCTTATCTTTAGTCCAGGAAAACCCTGAAGAATTTTTGATCCTCCTGCCCCAGCATTCCTGATAGCTAGGATTGGAGGTTGGTGTTTTCTAGCTGGGACCAAAACAACTAGGTAGAAGGCTGGAAAAGTCTACAGTGGTTCCAGTAGTGCTGCGTGAATACCAGGGACAATAAGGGAAATTGAAAGAGCTTAGATTCTGACTCAGCTAGGATGTAAAGAAGAGCTTTGAGGAAGATTTAATGTGGGCCTGAATAAAGTTAGAGTTGGTTATGTGAATACTTGTGCTATCTATTCACTTGGAAGAGCGTTCTAAATAGAGGGAATAGTGAGTACAAAGAACCTGAGGCTAGAGTTTGGTAAACCCCAGCAGGGAAAGGAGCCTGGTGCACCCAGGAGCAGATAAAAGTGTAACCTCTGGGGTCTCTGGCTGCTGTGGAGACAGTGAGAAGCCAGCTGCAATCTGTTCTGAGAGGCCAGGGCATCTGTGGTGTAGGATTGACGCAGAAGAGATGACATGCTGCCTGCAGACTGGGAACAGAGGGATTCTTCCTGGCCCATTTATGTTCAAAGGGCTCAGATGGAGGCAGTTATCCAGAGGGTACTGAGCTTGGATGTGAAGGCTGAACCTGAATTACAAGTTCAAGAGACACCAGGCACTGAGAACCCACAGGAGAACATTCCTGGCCCAAGAAGGAAGAACATGTCTTGGGGAGGGCACACTGTCGGGTGGACGGATACACAGTAGATGGGTTGATGATGCATAGACGTGTGGCTGCAGGGACAGTCTACACAGCAGGCCACAGCTTCTCACCTCCCGGCCAGGTGGGCTATGAACTGAAGGATGAGATTGAGCGCAAGTTTGACAAGTGGCAGGAGCCACCACCCGTGAAGCAGGTGAAGCCCCTGCCTGCACCTCTTGATGGGCAGCGGAAGAAGCGAGGGGGCCGAAGGTAATGAGCTCTGGTGGGGATAGAAGTTTGGAAGGGAGGCTGGCATTTTCCCAGTCAATTCCCTACATCCTCTTGACACCCACCTGTCCTAGGTACCGCAAGATGAAGGAACGGCTAGGACTGACAGAGATCCGGAAGCAGGCCAACCGCATGAGCTTTGGAGAGGTCAGGCTCACTCCACAGTAGTAGTGGGACCTTGAAAAGTGTTCTCTCTGTAAATCCCGCTGCCATTTCTCTGTAATCCTAGAGTTACCCCAGCCTCCTCCTTCCTTCCTAGCCTCTCATCGCAAACCACCTTCTCCATGGTGGTTTGGAGGCTCTGAGGCTCTGAGGCTCTGAGCTGGCTGCCCTTCCACCCAGCTGCCCAGGCTGCACCTATATCTGGCCATCATCTAGCTGGTCCTGAGAGAATCCGCTTAGGTGCGGCCTCAGTAGTGCAGCTTATCCCAATTCTTGGCAGCCTAATCTGAATGTAGGGAAAAACAGCCACTGTCTACTCAAGTCAGGAACCACAGGGTTCCCAGCTATACCCAAGCATAGTTAGGCTAGGCTCTTACAAGGTCATTCAGTGCAGTCTGTCTGAGTGGGTGCCCATGAGACTGGCTGATTGGAGACTCCCTGGGTTCTCAGCGGACTGTCCTAGGGGACTGGCTGAATGTAGCCAGTTTCTTAATAGTAGGTCACTCTGCTCTCACCAGATTGAGGAGGATGCCTACCAAGAAGACCTGGGCTTTAGCCTGGGCCACTTGGGCAAGTCAGGCAGTGGGCGTGTGCGGCAGACACAGGTGAATGAGGCCACCAAGGCCAGGATCTCCAAGACACTGCAGGTATGGACTGGGTCCATGGAAATGGGAGGCAGGTAGAACATGGATATCTGTAAGCCTGGATCACAGCCTTCCTCTTTTCCTACAGCGGACCTTACAGAAACAGAGTGTGGTGTATGGTGGGAAGTCGACAATTCGTGACCGCTCCTCAGGGACTGCCTCCAGTGTGGCCTTCACTCCACTCCAGGTACCCACCCTCTTCTACCAGGCATGTGATTGTTGTGGAGGCCTTGTTGATCCAGCACATGAATTGCTTAGGCATCCCCAGCGATACAGTAAATGGCAATGGTGAACAGTTACAGCTTTGACAAGGTCAGACCATCTTTGGGACTGAGCCTAGGATTCTATCTGTGCGTTCCAGATAACTTTCTGAGCTTCCCATTCTTTACTTGGAGATAGCCCTGTTTTCAGAGTAATATCAAGGTGGACTTGAGTGTCACACCAGTCCATAGCATTGAGCAGCATTGAGCATCGTTTAGTAGTGTGAAGCAGAATGGCCCCAGGTTACTCACCACAGAGGTAGGCAAGTTTGTTCCATAATGTCACAAGGAACCAAAGAGCTCTCTAGGTTACCAGAATGTCTACTGGGCACTGACTACCAGGTTCCAGGCTTCAGGCATAGAGACAAAGAAGACAAGCTTTGACTTTTGGGGAAGGGGGTCATGGGTTGGAGAGAACAGATGAATGAGTCACGTGCACAATGTATTAGAAGGCTATAGATGCCAGGGAGAAGTAGGAGTGAAAGGTGATGGGACCAGGGAAAGCTCAGCAAGAGGATTGAAAACATTCACTCAAATGCCGGCATTATCATCACTGTGATGGTGTGGGATTTTCAGAAAACTGTGGCTGGCCATGTCCATCTGGGACTGAGCTTCCTCATCCAGAACAAGACAGGAGTGGTGATTTTGACATCACCTGAGGAAGTTAACAGTCCTGATATCCAAGCCCTGGCCCCAGGCCCACTGGGACAAAATCCCTCGGACTGAGAAAGACTCTAGGCACTGTAAATAGTTCCATGTCCATAGGAGTGTCTGGGAGACTCTGACATGTCTGGTTTTCATACTAGAGGGAGGCCTGAGTCTCCCTGCTTCACCTGTCACCCTTTTCCTTCCCATCCCAGGGTCTGGAGATTGTGAACCCACAAGCAGCTGAGAAGAAGGTGGCAGAGGCCAACCAAAAGTATTTCTCTAGCATGGCTGAGTTCCTCAAGGTCAAGGGTGAGAAAAGTGGCACCATGTCCACCTGAAGGGGCCCACACCCAGGTGGCCACCCATTGGAAGGACATGGAGGACTGGAGCTTCTGAAGTGACAGACATCCAGCCAGGAAGTTGTGTTGGAGGCAGCCTGCCATGTTTTGTCCTTGGCCCAAGGCCACAGCATCCAAGGAAAAGGATGAAGAACCTTGGCCTGCCTTCCCAGCACCCATGCTGCTGTTGCCCCAAATGGGCAAAAAGGTCTTCCTCACATTCATCTTTTTTACTTACATGGGGAAAGGAAGTGCTTTTTTAGAAAGAGTACAATTAAATGCACAGTGTCAGGCTCTGACCAGAGGGTGTGATTATTTATGAAAGATCTAGAGGAGTCAGAGCTGTGGGGGCTTCTAGTCCAAGTAGCATGGACCTAGCTCTCTTCTGCTGTTGACCTGGAATCTGTGTGACTCTGACACCATCACCCTGCCCCTTGAGAACATCAGCTTCATGGCCAAACGGTATGGCCACCACAAAGCTCCTTGTTGGGCCCACAGAATTATTGTTGTCTCTCAGGGTAGAAGCCTCCTGGATCCAAGGTACATCCACACTATGAAGCACCTAAAAGGCCTGGGAGGTGTGTGCAGAAAGCATCCAGCACTGGTTTCATGGTGGAACCTGTTTTAATTCATGTTCAGTGAGGGGTCCAGGTCTGAGTCCTTGACAAGGGTGAGACATGTGGGTACCCTGCCCTGGGAGGCACTAACTCTCAAGCAAAAGAAGTGCACACTACCCACTTGTGAACGAGGGCTCAGCCAAGGGAAAACAGAACAGTATGAATCGCCTTTGCTGTGCCATGAGTCTGTAGAGGTGAGGGAGATGTCTGCTGGGCTCCAGTTTCTCTGCTTGAGCTTAGCTCTGTGGGTCTGAACATGGACCCAGCTGGTAAGGTCAGAGCTTCTCTTACTCATAATTTTAGCAGGTCTGTATTGGGCTTCCTAGTTCTCTCTCTCTAGGCCTTCATCTGCCTACCCATTCTATCTTGATTCCAGTCTCCTGTGGGTCTGCTGGGGGAAAGCCCTTGGTCCATCACTTCCTTTAGAATGCCTATGGTGTCCCTGGCCTGACTTGCATCTGACATCGCCAGTGGTGAGTGGAATGGAATATGAAGATGTGAGTCTCAGAATTTAGCATGCTGCAGAGTGCCTTGAGGGCTCTCTATACATGGTTTCTAGTCTTAAGAGTTTGATTCAGTTTTGGTAAGATAGAGCTTTAAAAAAATATGTATTTCAGCCAGTAATCCTAGATGCGCAGGAGAGTTCTAAATTCAAAGCCGCTTGGGCTACACAGTGAATTCAAGGCCAGCATGGGCTGTAGGAAAAACCCTGAGTCAAAAAAAAAAAAAGAGAGGAAGAAAGAAAAAATGAAAAATTTAAAGCTGGGGAGAGGTCTGACAAGATCTGGCAAAATAGCACTGTTGGTAAAGTGCTTTTCATAAAAGCATAGGAACCTTAGAAGGCAGACAGGCAGATCTCTGTGAGTCCAAGGACAACCATGGCTACACAGAAAAACCCTGTCTCGGGAAAACAAAAACAGCATAAGAACTTGAGTTCAGTACTCAGCACCCATATAAAAAGATCAGGCATGGTACTGTATGTTTGCCATCCCAATGCTGAGGAGGTAGAGACAGGTGACATGGGCCTGGTGAGTGTGGCCTGTCTAAAAACCCTAACAAACAAAAAAAATGAGCTGCTGGGAAGGCTGACATGACAAGCACTTGCATGTACATCTGCACATAATACATTCATATGTGCATATACACTTCAAGGGGAGGGAGTTGGGTGGAGAGATGGCTCAGTGGTTAACACTGGCTGCTCTTCCAGAGGACCTGGTTTGATTCCCAGAATCCATATGGCAGCCCACAGTGCTTTTATACCGTCAATGCCAAAGGATCTGACATCCTTTCCTGGTCTCCCTGGGCACTGACACAATGTGGTGCACAGTATGCATGTAGGCCAAGAACCCATACACAATAAAAGTTAAAGGGGCCAGGAATACAGTTCAATACAGGGTGCTTGCCTATCGGTGTCAAGGCCCTGCCTCAAAACAAGTTTTTAAAAGGCTGCAAAGCTGTGGTGGCACACACCTTTAATCCCAGCACCCCAAGCAGAGACCAGATATCCGTGAATTTGGAGGTCAACTTAGTATGCATAGTTCCAGGTTCACATAATGAGATCCTTAAATGAGGCCAGAAGCTGGAACTTGGCGGTACATACCTATAATCCCAGCACATGGGAAATGGAAGCAGGAGGACCAGGAATTCACAGTCATCCTCGCTACAAAGTAATCCCAGGGGGCTGGCGAGATGGCTCAGCGGTTAAGAGCACTGACTGCTCTTTCAGAGATCCTGAGTTCAATTCCCAGCAACCACATGGTGGCTTATGACCATCTGTAATGGAATCTGATTTCCCCTTATGGTATGTGTGAAAACAGCATTCATATACATAAAATAAATAAATCTTTAAAAAAAAAAAAAAAAAAAGCTAGTTCCAGTCCAACCTGTCTTATATGAAATCCTGCCAAAAAAGAGAGGTGAGAAGTGACTGGAAATAATTGAATAGTAGGATGTTTCCCTAGCCTGTGAAGCCCTGGGTTCCAATCTCCCTGCTGCGAGGGAGGGGGGGAGTGCATTTCCATGTGATATTTATGGTAGGGATACAAGGACCATGCTTTGAGAAGAGCCTTTGATAAGCTTTTTACATTAGATGTACATTGGAATTATCTCAGGGGAAGAATCAAAACTGGTTTCCAACTCCAAAGGTTAATGCAGTTGTTCTAGCATAAGCCTAAGTATCTGGATTCTAAATTCCCCCCCGCCCCCCGGGTGATTCTAAACTGCCGCTAAGCCTGGGAATCATCACTGTGTTCTTAGGACCATCAGCATGCCCTGGGAGCTTGTTAGAAAAAGCAAAATTGGGGACCACCTGGATAACCTGCATTCTACAAGTCAGCAAGAGATTTCTGATAAATCTTGAAGCAGTTTCACATTCAGAACCTACACGAAGTAGCAAAGCTATACATGAAAAACAAACTCGAAAGTGTATGATAAGGGCTGTTAGAAAAATATAGACAAACACAGGTCCCTACGGTATTACTCTCTTAAATCTCTGTGGCCCTAAGAATATACATTTTAAAAAATTGTGTAAATGTGTGAGCATAAGTGCACCAGCAGATGCCAGATGAGGAAGTCCGATCTGGAACTGGAGTTACAAGCATGTGAGCTATCGTGTGGGTTTTGGGAATAGAAGCATGGGTCCTGGTAGGAAAGTGTTCTTAACTGCTGAGCAACCTCCCCAGCCAAATAATTTTTCTAAGCCATTTTTCCCTCTCTTGCTTCATGCCATTCTGATGAGGTGCGATACATGTCGCACATTTGTACAAGGAACTTTTATTCGACAGCTAAAGTCTCGGAGGCTGACTATCTCATCTGCTAACCTAGGCCTAGTCCTGGAAGCTTCTAGCCTCTGTACAATCTAACCGTAGGCCTAGAATGTTTTCAGCCTCTGAGACTTAATGCTTAATAAGCTCACCCTTTCTTGTTCTTTCTGAGCTCATAGTTGGCTCATTCATTTCAGCTGTTCTGGCTCAAACTCCTCTCCCAGCTAACTTACTCAGTCTAGCGTTTCTCTTGGCCTTTCAATTGCTCTGCTTGGCCTCACCTAACTCCAGCAACCTTTTCTAATCTTCTGGCTCTTTTTCATTCTCTGGCTCATTCTGCCTTCACCTGTGTCTAGCTTGTTCTCTCTTCATCCTATCTCTGTATCTCTGCCCTGGTAAAACTGCTTGCTCTCACTCTCTACATTGCTCCTTAAGTAGCTTCCTTTTCCTCTCCTTCTGGAGGACATCCTATTCTGTCAAGTCTCTGTAATTTGTAACTTTTTCTGCCACTCAAACATCCCTTTCAAACATGGGTGCTTCCTTCTACAAACTAATTTTACCTCCATTGTTTGAGATTAAAGGCATATACTACCACATCTGGTCCTGAGCTTTTCTTTACCTAAAACTTGCTCTATACCAGGCTGGCCTTGAACTCAGATCTGCTTGCCTCTATTTTTTGAATTAAAGGCGTGTCTGTTTTTCAGCTGGATCACACAGACCTAGAAAGTCTTCGGATGTGATATCTTGCCAGAACAGCTATGTTCGGAATTTAAATTCCTCTACACACGTTCTCTTCAAGTTTGGATTTATCTTATTTTCCATCACCTAGCAGGCAGAGATAGGTCTGGCTTCCCAATTCATATAAACGTGGTGCTCAACATACGGCATTGCTCAGACTACTAATTCAAGTACAACTGCATCTACTAATTCAGCAAAAGATTACGGAGTGCTTTATGAGTGCTAACCACTGAGAAATCCGAAGAGGGAGACACAAATAAGCATAAAAAGGGCAGGAGTTGGACAAAATTAAACCGAAGAGGCTGACCTAAGCACTGTGGAAGGGTGGTCCGAGAAGTTTACTCCCTAACAAGCATAACAGCTCAATGAGTAGCCATTCAGATGTAACCGATAGGGTAAAAAGCGCAGTTTCTTCTGCAGCAGCCAGCGTCTACAATACCAAAGAAACGGAGCTAACAGGAGAGCGCCCATGTTCCGCTTACTTAACCAGACAGGACAGTTCCATGTCCTGTGTCTTAGTCAAATTCTATATATATCCCTGATTCTGCCTTTCCTTCCGCCCAGAAAACACCGAGATTTAAAAATACTCCGAGCAGAAGTACTTGGAGAACGGCTGTGAGGATCAGAAAACAGCCTGGACGGCAGGCAAAGGAAGGATGCTCGGAGAACCACACCTGTGGGCAGCTCCCTCCGTTAATAGCTACCCTATTGGCCAAAATGAGATGAGAATGCCCAGGGAAGGGGAGGGGCCTTTTGCTTAGCTCCTCCCCTAAGCCTGGCGGCTCTTTTGATTGGCAGATGACTTCCCCGCAACCCACCGGCCCCGAAGCACCTGTTTGTTTCCCACTAAGTAAGCGGCCCACTCTCCATGCCTTCTGTGGTTTTCCCCTACCCATTTTCATGATCAACCAATGAGTCCAGGGCAGAGGTATCGCAACCAATTACAGCCGCCTTTAAACTTGACGAACAACTTCCCGCCCCTCAGCTTGACTCCTCCCCGCGGCCAATTGATTTAGGAGAAGGGGGCGGACACACCCAATCAAAACGACACAAGCCTCTTGATTGACACCCAGGCCCTCGCGCTGGCGTGTTGTGCTCTGAGGAGGGGAGGAGGAGGAGGAGCCGGGAAAGAAAAACCCGAGCCAATCCAAGTAAGCTGAGCGAGAGGCCAATCGAACGCCG